TTTGTAAATATGTTTATTTGATCATATTATCAGATGTTAATCATTGTTCGTATGATCACATGTTTGTCTTTGTTCATATTGTCATATTTTGTTTATCATTGTTCATATTTATCACATGTTTATCATTGTTTATTATTAAATATTGATACTATGTTGTAAATATGTTTGTACTCTCATACCCTGAGAGGGGGTCGATAGAGTCAATAAAAACTTACAATCAATCTTACGATCAACTTTTTCTGATCGATTCCACACCGTTTCCTTCACAATCCAATCGCATGACCAGAACTCAACTTTATCTTTAAATGTCCTTGATATCTATTTATATGTATCATTATGGAAAATACAATGAACATTACGCAAGTAAACAAAACAACAAAGCCCCAGGTGCCTTTCTCATCATGACCTAACCTACATTGTAAGAGCACTTCATTTGATATTGTAATGCCTCTCAATGAGTCAATACCCTCATCTCATATTACTTCACAGAATGTAGGAATGACTTATGTATGTAGGTCTGAACAGTAAACAACTCCGAATTAAAGTAAACCAGAGTCAACAAACTTTAGTTGTCTTCAGGAACTGAATGAATCAAAGTCATAGTGTAGTCATTGACATCAGATACCCATGAACTGTCTTCCCAAGCACCTACATGTATATTATGACATGTACATTATGACATGTACATTATGACATGTACATTATGACAAAGTGTAGTCATTGACATCAGATACCCATGAACTGTCTTCCCATGCACCTACATGTACATTATGACATGTACATTATGACATGTACATTATGACAAAATGTAGTCATTGACATCAGATACCCATGAACTGTCTTCCCATGCACCTACATGTACATTATGACATGTACATTATGACATGTACATTATGACAAAATGTAGTCATTGACATCAGATACCCATGAACTGTCTTCCCATGCACCTACATGTACATTATGACATGTACATTATGACATGTACATTATGACAAAATGTAGTCATTGACATCAGATACCCATGAACTGACTTCCCATGCACCTACATGTACATCATGACATGTACATTATGACATGTACATTATGACATGTACATTATGACATGTACATTATGACATGTACATTATGACATGTACATTATGACAAAATGTAGTCATTGACATTAGATACCCATGAACTGACTTCCCATGCACCTACAGTGTACATGTACATTATGACATGTACATTATGACATGTACATTATGACATGTACATTATGACAAAATGTAGTCATTGACATTAGATACCCATGAACTGTCTTCCCATGCACCTACATGTACATTATGACAAAATGTAGTCATTGACATTAGATACCCATGAACTGTCTTCCCATGCACCTACATTATATTATGACTCTTGGGGTGTCATTTGTGGCTTTCTACTTTCCAAAAGCCATGATCTTTAGCTATCACTTTAAAATCAACTAAATGACACTCCTACAAAGACTTACATTTGGTCAACTAACCCTTAAACAGTCAAACCTGCTTTAGTGACCACCTGTCTACAAAGACCACATTTTTTGTTTCCCTTGAAAATGGTTTCTCACTGAAACATGTATTAAAGGAAACTGTCTACAAAATCAAAATCAAAGTCTTCAAAGACCACTTTTTGTGTTTCCTTTGGGCGGTCACTATAGACAGGTTTGACCGAGCAACAATTACCCCTTAGGTACATCTTACATGTAAATGTATACTTTGATAAGCCCCCACCCCCTCCCCCTATTTCTAATCCTGTCACTTTAGTCGATAAGTTGCTGTGATTTCTTTTCTTCTCATTTATAGAACTAATTGAAAACAATGAATACAATCAAATTAATATCCCAAGATCAGTTTCTAAATTATCTTATAATTTTTCTGTTATCTACATGTAACTAACCCTAGTGAGTCCAGTCAGATCATTAAACAGTGTATTTTTTGAGTCATCATGGTCCAGAGGATATGTCACTGGACTGTTGATCAAAATGACAAGGTACATGGTTTGCGACCTCTTAGTGCTTCTCTATTACATCCTTGAGCAGAGTGCTCAAATGTGGCAAGATTAATGTCTTGCCACACTTTAACACTCCACTCAGGTGTGGTAGATGGGTCTGGTAATCCTTGAAATGCACTAAGTGAGCACTGCTGATACTCGCTGGTTCTGAAGCTGGGTAATGATTTCCAAGGATCTTTGGAATTGCATCAGACTATTATACCATGCTAATGTAAGTGCAGTATGTGCTCTACAAAAAACGAAATAGTATTTATTGGCATTATTTCAAGTACAAGGCATTTGCATTAACGATAAAGACGCCTTCAAACATGCAAGGCTAGACAATGCATACACACATTGATATGCTTGTTGCAAATAATTTTTGTGCTGTCGACAAAAGTAAAAGTATGGGTGAGTGTCCCAATTTGTTCAGTTTTGCACATCAATAGCCCACAATTCATTCAACTTGCACTTTCACTTTCCTTTACATTGATGAAGACGATATAAGATTTTGAAGTACATGAACAGAAAAAAACAAGATGCATGCGACTACATCTCTAATATGCCTCCCTTGAATGTTTGTTCATCAATGACTGATCCTGCGGTCTTTCATATTTGACCACACGAAACCCAACCTCTTTTCATTTAATCTTTCATGCTCATAGAAACATGAGCCAAATTTGGTCATCATTGGTTAAATTTTTGGTGAATAATCATCGTAATAAGACGTTTTTTAAAAAAAAATTCTAACACTTTCATGACCCTGTGATCTTTCACCTTTGACCTCTAACTTCCAAAAACTAATCAGTTCATCATTGCATGCTCAGTTACACTTCATCACAGCTTGGTTTAAATAGCTTTCAGGTTTTTCAAGTTTTCATGTTAACAAGATATTTTGTGGTATTTTGTTAACATTTTTATGACCTTGTTTTATTTTACCTTTAACCCATAAAACCTTTGACTCTTTATGACCCTAAGATCTTTGACCTCTTCCCACAAATTTAATCAGTTCATCCTTACATGCTAATACATACTTGATCTAAGTTTGGTTAAAATCCGCTCAATACTTCTTGATGGTTGAACAATTTGTTTTACACATACAAATCGAATTTGTTTGTACCTTTAGTAAGAACTTTCATATGCTAACAGCCTTTTTCGCGTCAGTTCTCAAGTTATCGCACTATAAAAAGCAGGACAGACAGACCTGCATACCTGCCAACATTTGAAAAAAGAATTAGGAATTTCTAGCATGGTATGCCCTCGAACCTTGTTAACAGGCGTTCGCACATGCAGCGGTAGTGTAACTGGCAACACGCGGTAAATTTGTACAAAAAAGCGAATGCAAATTCGCTGCCCGATCGTGCAGCCATTCACATGATAATACAAGCTTAATTTGGCTTTAGCAACAACAACAAAAATTTGAAAATCAGAATATTCCTCATTATTCAGAAGGGTTGGCAGGTATAACGATGCCTCGGCATGAAAATGGATCAAGTACCGAATACAGACTTTCATAGCATCTTGACTTTGCACAAGAGAGAGATTATGTGATATTTCTAATTTTGAAAAATGACAAAAATTAAAAATAGCTTGAATTGGAATAATATTGCTGTCAGAATTTTGGCAATATAGGTAATACTGAACTCCACATGCAAACAATGTTGTACTCCACTTGGAATCGTCTAATATATCTCATCCAATATTTTCATGTAATAACCTCATGGACATCCAGTATCATATAGCTGTTATGACATAATAGGCATATTACAATTACCTTGATAATTATGAAACCAAAGCTGTCACACCTTAAATTAAAGCCCTAAAACCTGGTAGGCCTACCTGTAGACAGTCTCAGGTGTAAACAACCTATTCACACATAAAAAGCAAGGCTGTGCTCATATTCTTAGAAAATACAGTCACGTTCTGTTTTCCATCTGTCATTCAACTTCTCATGTTCAAGGTACATTACATAAAGAATGCCTGGATTTCTAGGCCACCATGGTATAAAACTACTGCAGTCCATTTATTTTCCTACAGAATATGGATTTACAGTAGACTTGCGGGTGCACCATGTGAGAGAGAGAGAGAGAGGATTGAGGAGTCCTGAGGAGAATATGGATTGTTTGAGCTAAACGGATCATTTGAAGTGATCTATATATTTCTTTTAAAGCAGAGCAATGAGTAACTGCATGGAAAATGTGTGAAAAGATGTGCAATTCAGGTTACATTGGACATCTAATAATAATAATAATAATAATAATAATAGGCATTTCTATAGCGCTGTCTATCTAAATAATTCTATTCCGAGGCGCATTTATTATTACCCCAACTTTAGCCTAGCTGCAGTTTAAACAGTGCTCCAGCATTTCAAGGAATTAATTCCTGCCAGGTACCCATTTACATCACCTGGGTTGAGTGTGGCAAATGTAGATCGATGTCTTGCCATGACGAGGAAATGATGGCTCAGTGTTTAAGAACCGGAACTGATAACAGTAATAGCAATTGCTGTACTAGTACTAGCAAATGTAACAACACACAATTTTTTTCCAGCAAGTAATGTTGCATTACAAAAGTAAGGCCTGTTGCATGTCACACACAGTGTCTATACAATATAGCTGTCCCCAAGTCATGTATCGCATTTTGAGACTTTTATTTTCATTTATTTCTTCAAAGATAACTCTTATATCATGATGATCATGATATTCAGTAATGAGTTCATGCTCCATGGAAATAATATGATAATTACTGAAAAGTACATAATTGGTAGTGGTTGTGGCTTTAAATGAACTTAACGACTCACAAATTTGTCCTTGAATCCTTGATACGCGAAAAAATTGGCTTATACAGTACATGTAACACCTTGGCCATTAAATCACTAGTACCAGCATGTATAAACAATATCATGTATTTAATGAAATAAATACATAATAAATATGTCACAACAACAATTTGAATTGAAAATAAATAGCAAAACGTGATAAAAGGGTGCATACCTGATCTTGTAAGAAGAGTTCATTAGCCTCTGCTACCAGTCTGTCTGTTGCTATGACCCCTCCAAGGTTATGTAACCACTCATTCTCAACGACGAGAGAGATAACCATCAAGCACTCCACCATCAGCTGGCGGTACTCCTGCTCAGGAATCCTACAATTTAAATCAAACAAAAACAATTCATTAGAAGGAATGGCATAATGGATCGGGGGGGGGGGGGGGGGTGTTTCACAAAGATTCTAAGTCAAACTTAACTCTAAGTTGGGCTTAAATATTATGGAGAGCCATTTGTAGCCTTAAAATAAAATATATTCAAAATCAGAAATTTAAGTATTTTAGATTTTCCATAAATTCCACATGAAGAACATGAAATCTCCTTGATAATAGAAAATATGAATGATTTGAATCAACATTTTATGCCTTTTAAAATAAGTTTTACAAAATATTTTCAAAGATGCTAATGGCTTTCCATAATTGTTAAGTCCAAGTTAGAGACAAGTTCAACTGAGGATCTTTGTGAAACACTCCCCTGGTCGTTAAATTTAACAAGAAATAATAGATATCGCGCGAGCGACTCAAAAACTACTTTTCAAATTATTCGCATTTAAAGATTTGTTTTATATTTAAACTGCTTTGCGCCCCTAAAATTGGTTTAAAACTTAAAAGACTAATAGAAATATTATAGTAGAACACGGCCACAATTTTTTTCTCAGAAATAAGTCAGTTTTATAAAAGTTTGAGGCGATTTAGTGCTTACACCCTTCTGCTTAAAAGTTTCATTATTGACCTAAAATTTGAGCTAACGCCCTTCTCCAGCCAGGCGACGATATGAGAAAAACATGGCAGTAATTCCACTTTAGACCACTACAACTACAACTAAAAGAGATTCTAAACAAGCCAATGGCTCTAATTTTCTCATTATTGTCATCAAACTGAATGCATCACAAAGCTCCAATAAAAGGTTGTAAAAATGATAGCTAAATTAAACATAATGACAACCTCAAAGAAAATATTTTACAGTTGAAATGGATACCGGTATATATTTTTTAAAATATGTGAAATATTCTTAATGCATGTTCACTTATAAATGTATTCATGACCTATCCACGGGTTAGTGTGCCAGTTATTTGCATGGAGGAGACTCATCCCTCAAACAATTTAAGCACACAAAGTCACTCTTCATAAAGAGCAGGAGGGAAACCCCATTTACTATTACACCTTTGTATCCCAATGAGTTATACCTAGGGGAGTGTTCTATGGGCTGGAGTGACAGGTCAGGGTAAATAATTTATTAATCCATTGACTACTGACTTCATTCATCTCCATAGGTTTAATACAGGGGCCACTTGGTTTCAGTAGGCAATGGGTTTATAATACTAAGATGGTAGGAGGCATGAGAACAAACCTGTTGAGAACCTCTTCCACTCTCAGGGCAAACTTGAACTCATGAGGGGTCATCTCACGGGTCAGGTGCTGGGGTAAGAAGTGACTCACAATACGTAGGCCTTGACACTGTAAGAAAAATATCAAAAACTAAAACGTTAAGAACATTTTTTTTCTTTAATGCATTACACTTCAGCTCTGAGTTGAAGTACAATTTACAAACATGAAACACAAGTCTTATATTCCAAACGGAACTGAAGCTCCAAGATAAGCAAAATATTGATGCCCCAAGCCCTTACGATTAAAGATAAAGTAGAGTTCTGGTCATGCGATTGCATTGTGAAAGAATGGATCAGACAAAGTTGATCATGTAGCATTTAAGTATTGGTGTGTACTGCAAGGTTCTGGAGTTATCAAAATCATAATAAATTTGGCCCGGTCTTGGTAAAGTTACAAGCACTGTACACAGAAAGATGTATATGGGACTACACAAATGGTGTTGGGCCTACATACCTTGATTTCCATATCTTTCTATGCTCATTACTCAGCCAGTATACATTTTGTACCAAAATTGTTTGGCAAATGACATTTATTTGTAATCTTGAGCATTCAGTGTAAGCTTTATTTGATTCTGTGAGAACTCAAGTTACTCAAGTTTTTATCTTTAATACAATGGGCATGCTGCAAATTCTGCTGGGGGGGGGGGGGGGGGGATATGTATTGCTACTCCAAAATATAACATATCTAACATATGACGTTAAAAAATAAACAGACCTTTTCTAGAATCTTCCAAACTTTAAAGTAAAAGTCTGGAGGTGCCCTGTTGAGGGCGCCATCTAACCGTCTTCTCCTCAACCACTGACCCTGACGCTCCGTCAGCTCCTCCTCCATCAAGTCACCACTCACAGTCGAATAGGGCTTGTCTGAGGAACTCTGAAAAGCACAGAAAAAGATTAGGATAGTACTGCTTTGAAATCCTTGTATTATGATTGCTTGCTATCCATATCCATAATGCTCCTGCACAAAATTTTAATTAATGCCAATTAATTTTTTGAGAATAGGAATAATACAAATAATAACCATTTTCCAATAAATTTTGTAATCAGAAGTCTTCTTTTTGTAAAAGAACAGATCATCCAGAGGCCTAAAAGGTATTAATTTATGAATAAAGGTAAGCAGATCCCTGCTCCCTCAATATATACACATAGTACAATGCACATGAATATACCACATTATAACATGAACATGTGAACCTCATACTACAAATCAGAAACAAGTCACACACACCAAAAATAGAAATCACATTAAAAAGGACAGGCATATGTTATGCTTTACACTGTGCCATGTTGTAAATTTGAATCTCAATGCAAGTAACAATCAAACTCTTCTGAAACATTAACCAATCAGGGTCCGTCTTTCCACAACTGACAGCAGATGGCTGTTTGCTGATTGGCTAATACCAGGGAGGTTGCATTCAAGTGCGTGGATACTCACTGTGGATATCTGACCCTTGAGGTACGACATCCCATGGAACTTGTTGGATCGTGAACTCACAATAGACAGCTGGCGTTCCATTGTACCAGCACGATGTGATGCTGTAAAGAAGATGCATGATCATCAAAGACAATTAATCTTACTTTCACTTGCTAGCTCGGACAGGCGTAAACTAGCCCGCTATTTCCTAAATAGCGGGATATTTTGGAACAAGACCAAGATTTCTCAGGAATGGATATTTGGTCGAGAAGATATCCTGAGAAGACTGATGAAGATGCAAATTAACTGACTAATTTGCGATCGGGATAGTTTTTTGGCAAATCAAGCTGATGATGTCAGGCCTTATATCACCATTACCCCCACCCTGGACAACAAAGCTTTTGGGGTTACTAGAATTCAAGATTAAAAAGTATAATTTACCTGATCAGACTACACACTATGGCAAGAGATGTGAATAGGACATTTTTGTATGCTTTTAATCCACAAGGGCCCTTTAGAAAGTGCAATTATGACCAAACAAGCACTTAATAAGTAAAGTCTTTGATCATATGATAAAAAGTGATGGGGGAAACAGATCATAAATGATGTAACTGACATAAATATATCAATGAAATATAATGTTGAGCAAATAATCAATATAAGAAAAAAAAGAATAATTTCTTACTTGTGTTGACCATGAATTCTCTACTGCTGAGGATGTGATGCAGAAGATCCTTAATTTCAAAAGGACTTAATGTCACCAGCTGCTCATATGCTTCATTCACTGCAAGAAAGGAGTAAAGCAATTTGATTTTAAATGGGGGAAATGAGTAATGATATGCATAATGACATATTTAAAAGAAACATAACAGTGAGAAGCTGTTTCCACTAACTCATTTAGGTTTCAAAGTACAGGCACATTTAAAAAATATATATAATATGAAATTGCTCAAAACATAGAAGATGGTTGAAAGGGGTCATCTATCTGTTCTGTGAAAAAATCATTGATTTTGCCATATCACTTGAAAACCTGATACATGCTTTCAATTTGTTTCACATGATTGTTGTCCTAACACTATATAGCAGTTCAGTCTCTGAGTTCTTCAAGTGAATGAATACTAACTAAGCAAGATATCCTGCTGGAGTCTTTAGAAAATGCATTTTATTCAAAATTGAACAGAATCAAATAGGTTAAGCACTATAATGACAACAGGGTTAAAATGAGGGTAATAAAGGAACACCAAGAAAATCTTGGCTTTATAGGCGTAAATGTTACAAGAAGCCAACATTATCATGTTATCATTATATTATATTTCTTGGGGTTATTACCTTCGCATTCCATGGCTCTAGCAAGTTCAGAGGTCATGACCTGTACAATCAGGCCCACCCTCAGTCTCAACATCTCAGTGAAGAGATTCGGCTCCGTACAGATGAACATGGAGAGGTAGATCAGTAATTCCTGATCAGGAGGAAAGTGAATCAAATGAAAATAAAGTACTTCAAAACTTAAGGGAGAAAGTATTAAAGAATACACAAAAGTTCTAAATATATATGTGTTCATATGGAACATAAAAAGTAGGATGAAGGTACAGAGAAAATAAACATGGGAAAGATGAACTATAGGAGAAATGAAAGAAGAGAAGAGGAAGGTGATTAAAAAAGGAAAGGAAGTAGAAATCCCAAACAATACCCATGAAGACACCCAATAAAGAATGAAATGAAATTTCAAAAGATTTGATTGAAATGATCTTATAATACAAAAGGTATCAGAGATATTTAAACAAATATTTGAAAGTATTAAATCCCTCTAGTCGCCTGGAAACAATGGGGTATATTTCCTACTGGGAAATAGTTGTAGTGAGGTAAAGTGTTGGATCCTGAGATTGAAAAAGAGTGTGGCAAATTGACCACGGAGGACCTGTCACCACAGCACATATCGTAGAACCCTTGTCTCTCTGCAGTTTACCTGTGTAAGCACAGCCGAGCTACGATCCTCTCCGCAGGCCTCATAGATGAGTGTCTCTAGTTCCTCCGGTGGGAGGGGTGCAGTGATGATCTTCTCCCTGGGCTCTGGGGGTAGACCCACCGACACCTGCTTCTGCCTTACTAAGAGGTCAGTCACTGACTTGGCAAGGTGTTCCACCCTCTTGCAGAGGATACCGGCCGTGTGACGCACCACGGACCAAGTCTTGTGATGGGCACTCTGCAGGGATAAAGTAGATGAACAAATGGGAAACACCTCAATCAGTCTTGCATATATGCACAAACGTGCGTATAACATATACAGAAGATAGAAGACAATACAGTCAAACCTGTCTATAGCGACCACCCAAGGGAAACACAAAACGTGGTCTTTGTAGACAGGTTCCTTCAAAACATGTTTCAATGGGAAACCATTTTCAAAGGAAACAAAAAATTTGGTCTTTGTAGACAAGAGGAATTATAGACAGGTGGTCACTAAACTAAAGCACGTTTGACTGTCCTTGGTTTGACGAAACATGACTGTACAAGTGGTTTTCTAGTTTATGATAATGAAGGCATCATAACAAATCAGATGCTAGGCTATAGATGAATCTGATTGAAAAGTTCATTACATGAATAAAACAGCATCATACTGACCACAGGAGTGAATCAATAAAAAATACCCTTTTCCTTTTGAGGGAATGAACACAGAAGGTACAGGTAGTGTATCTCTGCTTCCCATTCAAGCAAAACTGACTAATCTTACAAAGATATCAAAAGTAATAATGGTAGAAATTGAAACTAAAACAGTAGTATCAGTACTAATGACATAATCAAAGACAACAATAAAAATAAACTACATCTTCATCCAAAAAAATATTATAACCCTCATTTGACTAATTTATTAACCCCACTTGTCCAATGCAATCAGACAGTTCTTGTATTAGCTGGCAGAAAAGAATCCATTAAAGCCTGTCTGCACTAGTTTTGCCAGGAGGGATTGGACCTGCCAGCATGGTCACTGACATATGGTTATCTTATCAAATCAGCTCTCAATTAACATAAAGAAAAAGAGGATCATGTGGGACCAACAGGTACCTCTTAGGCATTGTTTGCAATATAGAGGGCGCAAGTAGCTACAAGTAGTGCAGACAGGTTTTAAGCTACTAATGGGTTGAATGAGAATCATTTAAATTAGGTTGATTTTCCATCTCACCTTGTAATAAAGCTCCTCAATCAATGCCTTGACAGTCACTCCAGGTTTACCATTGATTTTGGTGTCCCAATCCATACCCCTAAAAAGAATGTTTGAATTAAATAAGCAGTTAAGTGGGATTCTATGCACAATCCACACATATTCATGATGATGATGAAATGTTTCTGCTCCATGTCACTGTGGAGGCAAGAATTCCCTTTACTGACACAAATCACATCACTGGCCAATCAAAAATATCATTCCATAATATTAATATACATCATTTTATGCTTCCTATTTTAAAACGGCATTAAACCAAGCATTGTCTGGGTATTAAACAATTTTTTGTGCCAGTGAGTTTTAAAGCAGGGTAAAGATTTTCCATGCTACACTATGAGCAATATATGTATCAGGGCCCCATTTCACAAAACCTGTCATCAGTGACAAATGACAGTTTTTTTTAAGCTCGTGAAATCCTTGCTTCTAGTTGGTTATCAGCAGATTTGTCACTGATTTTTGTCATTTGTTATTGAAAAAAGGCTTTGTGAAACGGGTCCCTGATCTACAGAATTACATTTGTTGCATGAGGTTCTACTACAACCCCTGGATTGGATTGGAAGTCTTTGACTCATAGAGATAGTGAACAATGTCTAACAAACTTCATCTAATGTTATCTAATGAACATTACTCAACATGACTATGTACATGAGACAGGGTTCCCACAGGAAGTTGAGAACTAAATTTCATGACTTTCCATGACCCACTTTCGCCTTTTTCCATGACCCGATAACTACTATTTTGATATGGGTTGGCAGCATCCAAGTAGTGTATAACTACCACACAGTGACATATATTATTTCTTGTTTGTGACGGCCTCTGCTTCCCCTCAAAATATCCATGACTTCCAATGACTTGGGGAATTTTTTTCTTTCTTTTCTTCATTTTCCATGACTTTCCATGATTTTCCAGTAGAATTTATTTTTCCATGACTTTCCAGCTTTTGGTATGACCATGGGAACCCTTATGCCTCAGTCACACCTTTGCGTATTTGGCTTGTGTATTGCTGCGCCGTTTCAACATTTATTCCTATTTCTTGATATCAAGAATTGAATTCATTACATCAAGAAACTAATTCTTGATATCAAGAACTACCACAGCTTTACAACAGAAAATCATTTCTTGATATCAAGAAATAGGAATAAAAGTTAAAACTGCTTGCCATAAATATGCAGCAATGCGCAGGCCAAATACGCAAAGGTGTGACTGAGGCATAAGTATTGAGCAATATGAAAGAAAAGTGATGGAACCTAATGAACATACTCACTTTGACTCATACAGGTAGTGAACTATGTCTGCCTGTTCATGCAGAGAGTCTGACTCCTGAAGCTGTTGGACTAACTGGGCAGCTTCCTGGCCTTTATAGATCTCCTCCAACTATTACAAAATATAACAAGAAATTGAAAAGAATAGACACAAATGCTTAAGAGACAAGTCATCATCACAGTTTAGAATTCATTTTCTCCACAGTGTAGTGTTGGAGGTTTCTTTTCCCTTATGGCTCTTCTCGAAGACTTACAGTCTGTAGCATCTGCCTGGGTGAGGCCAGATTCTCTCAAGTCTTCTTCTATAGTGTCTCCTTCAAGGTTTTGCAAGATCTGCCATGACATGCACACACCAATAAGCCAGTTCACGGTTGCAGTCTGAGCATGAGCAGATAAAGGTCATTGCAGACCAATTCATGAAATACACGGAGACAAAATACTGGATATGTGCTCATGAAAGTTATGTGATCATTATTCATTTATGCACGAGCAGTGCACTCCATGATACACAGGTGGAAGTATTCTTTGAAAAGGGGAAACAAAGGCTATTTATGTAGCACCTCTATCGCTGTAGGAGTAATTATTTTAAAATGTACAAAGTGGGACCTCTTCATGTTTTAAAGATCTGTGGATATTCGAGGGTCATTAGGGACATGTGTGCTAACTGTGAACTGGTCTATTATGAGTGAATGGTGAATAAATTATTACAATAATTCCTTTGAAGCACAAATCTTGTGTGTGATCTTCAGTCACTGAATTCCAAAAGTAGACTCACAATTTCCATTTCTTGGGCTATCTGTCTCTCCATTTTAAGACATTATCACCTCAATACCAACATTTTTTGTAATTTTTGTTTGTGATTTTCAGCATGTCTTGAAAGGTTAATTAACGTGACTTCACTGAACCCTTGAACAACACTTAAAGTGACTCCGTAACATTGTCTCAGATCCTGAAACAAAATCCTGGATTTAGCTCATGTTGCAATGTTAATTATAAACCTTTAGGTCAGTCAGGAACCCCATGACTTTGACAATCCGATCGCCTGTCTGATTATCATGATAATTATGATTGGAATTTGAAATCAAATTTTCTGTTTTTCAAACAGTTTTTATAGCGCTACAGTCTATTGGGAAAATGAGTATGGTAAAACCGGTCAATCAAAGATTTGTTACTCTTTTGAGGCACTTCATGATCATTTTGAAGCGCAAGTTGTTTAGGGCTTGAATATTACACCATATAACAGACACTGATAACACGTAGGGACATGCATCTCAGATTTAACACCGTTAAACGATGCCTTTAAAGGAAACACTACACCTTATCTTTGTCATACAGGGTATTCCCATCTTTTCAGGTAAAACTAACCTCCTTGTACTCGAACCAAGATGGTGTCCTCTTCATAGGAGAGCCAAACGACCCATCAGCGTCTGGACGCAGGTGAAATTTACCCGGAGATGACGAGAGCGGAATTTCAATGCCGGTATTCTCAAAGACAGTTTCACGCGAGTCTGTATCATCTGAAATATTGGAGCATAGCGATGGAGATGAAATAAATTTCTACTTTCTGACAATGCTAGCATGAATACATGATGATATGAATAAAAACTATCTAGTATTAAATACCTTGATTGTTCTATCAATAGGATGAAGTGGGAATCTGTTTCTTCTAAAATATTGGACTAAAACAATGAAATTGCTCCAGCAATAAAGAGAACAGGTTTCTATGACAATAAAACAGAGATTGTCGGAAGGGTGAAAGGTGAAATTTTTGTGTACATTTTTTTTTTAATACTTGCTACTTTCCTTTAAAAACATGAAATTTATATTAGCTATTTGAATCTTTTTTTCTAATGTAAAATGTCGCAATGAGCATAACAGTAGCACAGCTTATATCTGTAGATGAAAATCAAAATCATGCACTTGAAAAGAACAGAAATAAACAAAATAAAACAAAACAAACGCACACACAAACATAGTACACACACCAGGACCCTGTAGAGATTAGATATAATATTAAACAGACAGAACAAATTGAAAATATTGTTCTTCCATCTCCAAAGACACATCAGTGAACACCCGTATTAGGTATACAAGACCATCACCAAATTGTGTATCAGCTGAAAATTAAAAACATAAGTTGATCATAACTACAATTCTTTTAAATATATTTATTTTTTAATACACTATATAGAGAAACATGCATCAAATTGTCATTATTTACAACCATTGCCTATATTGATATGCTACCATACTTGTATACAAGCAAGCATCATTGTTTGTGGGTGTATCAATCTGCAAGCAAGCAAGCTTGAAGCAGAACAACTTTTAGGAATGAGTCTTCACCAGGACCCCATTTCACAAAACTTGCTATCAGTAACAAAGGCTGAAATCTTATAACAATTTTGCTCTCAGCCAATCAAATACAATGATTTCTGCAGCTTATATCAATTACTGTAACTGGTTATTAATAACAAGTTTTGTATAACGGGCCCAGATCAGAAGCCGATAATCTGTAAAGATATGCATGCTTTGCAATCTGTGCAAGATATTAAATTTCAGGTTACTGCTATAAAAAATGTGAGTATCACAGAAGCCATTTCTGTACATGTAGTTACAATATTCATATCAAAAGCAAATTAAATTAAAAATGAACAGTGTACTATTACTTAAAGATGTTACATTAAATATTGTGATAATTGGTTATAATACTAATTATAATTTACACCTGTTACAGCACATGCAATATATCTTGGGTGATAGTAAGTGTGCTTTTAAAAATTGCAGGACGGAGGAACTAACTATTATCTAATATACAAATATTGAACGCTTTGAGGGACACGGTTAAAACTATTGCCAAAGGTGATCTCGAAACTGCATTGTGACCTGAGACGAATTTGAGGGGTGTAGTGCAGTCTCAAAATCACAGAGGTGATATAGTCTTAAACATGACCTGGAGAATAAGTAGTCAATATTTTTTTTATATACCGCATCCCTGTGTCAATTCTCTAAAAATAAATATTTCAACAAAATATGCCTGTCAAAATCTATTTTTTTGTAGAGTTTCACTGTGTGTATCGATTGTTGACTTCATGCATAACCATTGCATCCTAGCATTGTACATTGTAAGTAGAACTATGCTCGCTTAATATCTTTTGCTATACTGCCCAGCAGTCAGTAGGGAATTGGGGTTTTGACCAATCACAGGCCTAGAATCTTCATATGCGGTATATACATCTAATACACACTACTGGAGGTGTGCAATACTCTGGAATTGTGATTCTAACATCTATACACATACACTTTTAGCTAGAAACTACATCAGGAAATTATCGAAAGATAATTAAAATCTTTCATACAGGTGCATAGCTAAGTGCACTGGACTGCTACAACTTCCAAAAGAGAGGGGCTACATCAGTTACTGTGCGCTTTAAGTTTTAATGCATTGCATTGTCCAACATTGTCAAATTCAACAAAGTAATACCAATCTACAGACCAGTGACAGAGGATACAAAAGTGCGACCATATAATCCAGGTTCTCAAAGTGAAAGGGTGCAACTAGGAGGACGCTAGGCTTGTTTAAACTTATCAAAAAGTCCCAAATTAAAACGCTTTGAGAGATTGCCAAAAAGGCTGTGGTCTCCAGATAGCACACTTGCGGACAGAGATAGAGTGAAGGCAAGGCCTAACTACGCACTCAGCCATTTAATAGCTGCCATTGATAACAGGAAGCATTTAAGACACTGCACATTCTGCAATTACAAAACCTGTGAGAGTCAGTAACCCCCACTACTAATTCACTTTATGCTCCTACTTTTATACAGTGGAGAGAGATTAAGAGGAACTGAAACAGAGTTAAAAAAAGAATAGGAGAAAAAGAGACAGAAATAAAGATGAAGAGAGACAAAGACAAAGACAGAGAGAGGGAGGAAGAGAGAGAGAGAGAGAGAGAGAGAGGGTGGAGGGAGGAGAGAGGGGGTGGAGGGAGGGGAGAGAGACATGATAGAGTGAGAGGGAGAGAGAGAGAAAGAAAGAGAGGGCGGGGAGAGAAGAGGCGGAGAGAGAGGGGGAGGAGGGAGCAGAAGCACATCAATCTGCATGCTCACAAATACAATACCAATTAAGCTGTAACAATTGCCTTATCCCCCAATTTTATGATTCTTAAGGATGGTCCTTAACAAATTAATTGGTATAAAATATTTAAAGACATTTTCTTTTACTTTTACAAAGACTTTTTACATGATAATTATTTACTAAAATAGTACAAGTAATATTCATAAAATATAAATCATATTGCAAAAAATAGGAAGATAAAATGAGTACACTGCATAAACATAGTATTACATGTTTACCTTGAAAAAATTTCCAAAAGAAATTGAAAGAAAAATTGGAAGAAAAAAAATATAGGGGTGTCAGAAACCAAATATGCAAACAAACTCAATTGATCATCAAAATTTGAACTAAAAAGAATGGAAAAGTTGTCAACGTTTTGCTAAATCTGGCTTCATGCGATTACACAGTCAATAAAACTGCAAAGCATCCATGATTAATTTGAAAACAATTCAGCTATTAGTCACTATTCAGTGTTTAAGAATCCTCTAACACTTAATATTAATATTTGTCCATGCTCTATTGGCGATCTAATCTTATTCTATGTGCAACTACATGTTGCGGGATCATTTTAAAATGATATTGTTTTTGTTAAAGTGAGATTAAAATTGCCTTAGATATATTTGATCAGTTCAACATCCCCCCCCCCCCCCCCCCCTCACTGCATTTTATTCTAGATTATTGGATATTGGGTTACTAGAGGCATCTCATAGGATAATGAATTTTTGCAACCAATGTGAAAATGGAATGTACATCTAAACAGCAATGCAAAATTTTCGCTATTTTACAATTTGATTTTATTATTGATACTAAACACAAAGTTGCTACTCAAATTGGGTAGAATTATTTAAAAAATAAAGATCGTGGGAAATGCAGAATTCCCTTCTCCATGTAAAAAACAAATTAAAAATCCAAGAAATCATGCATAATGATATTTTATGGATTTTTGATGAATACTCCTTTGTAATGAATAAAATCTGAACCCTCAGAGGCACTCTAAAAAGAGAAAATTATGAGTATGAAAATGCCCCCTCCCCCCTCCAAATGCAAGATGCAGCCTAAACCAATTGACTCCTAGCTATTAGTATTACACTGCAGACAAATGGAATTTGGTAAGAATGAGTTTGTTTCTTTTAATAGCGAAATCATACCGCTGCTGCAGCTGCTGCTGCTGCTGGTGGTGGGAGAGGAGCTTTTATCAGGAAGGTCTAATACCAGAGTAGGGGACGAGTCAAACACTTCATCGTCATCCTCCTCGATCGTGTTACCTTCTCGTAGCAAGGAGGTCGTATACGGGGTCGTGTATGACTCCACGCTGCCTTCCCGCTTAAGCTTAGGATGATGCTGATGATGATGGTGCTCTTGTTCTTGTTGCTTTTGTTGCTCAATGAACTGCTCTCTGATGTGGGTGAGCGTGGGGGACTCCACATGACGTATGGAGGGCATGTTAAAGTGAATGGAGGCCTTGCGATTCAAAAGGTACATGAGCGGCCGTGTATCTAGTGGTCGTGGAGAAGCACATAGAGTGTTGGAATACCAATAACAGGAAAGCTTATAAACACAACTGATGCAACTTTCATTTACATTCATATTTTATGCGCTCATTGCATACAACAAAAACATACAATTTCCTATATACAGTTAGTGATAAGTACTACAGCAGCAGCATATTGAGTTGCCAGAGCATTGGTAAACTTCTTATGGATTTGAATTATTTTAGTTTCACATTCTTTACAAGAGAAAATATTGTTTAAAATAAATTTTCAGAGTATCTCAGCGATGTAGCTTCTAGCCCCAGGATGGACTCTCCTTAAACCAATGATTGATACTAACTACATGTTACCCTAAATTGATAACCCTTTCTAAAAATAAACCTAAAAAGTAAATTTTGAAATCATTTTCAACCGACCAGCTCCTTTTTAACATGAATAGAGTACTACACAGGTGTTATCATTCAATGGAGAGAAATTAAAACAAAAGTTGGAAAATATTACCCACCACTTTTGCTCAAATTGGACATGAGGTGATCACAGAGACTAAAATCTACTAAAATCACAATCACTATAGATGCTAAAACACAGATACTGTACATCTACAAACATATTGATTTTGGTCTAAAATCCTAGATCTTGAAGCAAATTATTTAAACATGGCAAAGGTGGATGTGGATGTAGATCTATCAAGAAGCACTACAACAAAAATTATATTTAACTTGATGGATGAATGAGAACTTGAATTTCACGATGAAGATTTGCAAAATGTCAAGAAATATTGCATCAAAATGAGTGAGTTTTGATTGGTGGCAAATCGTGCCTTACTCTATGAAAAATGTTTTGTGTGATCAGTTTGTGAGAATACCCAAGAATGCAATTGCTCATTTCATTAATCTTGCTTGATTTCAGTATCAAAATATGTTAAATTTGGCAGCTCCTCTGAATCCCCTGGATGGAACTCTTAAAGCCCCACTGTACTACTTGTAGCTACTTGCGCCCTCTATATGGCAAACAATGCATTAGCGGTACCTGTTGGTCCCCCATGATCCTTTTTTCTTATGTTAAGTGAGAGCTCAGTGATTTGATGAGATAACCACCGGTCAGTGACCATGCAGGGAGGTCTAATCCCCCCTGGCCAAACTTGTACTGACGGGCTTTAAGCTGTAATTCCCAGAATGACTTCCTTAGCATACTGGGTGCAGTAACCATGGGCATTGGTAATGCGGACACACATCTTACCCATTGTTCAATAGCATGGCAGATATGACATATGAATGCAATGGACAACAAATTTATTGCTCAATTTGATGTTTGCTTCAAATCATTCTTAGAAAAAAGAACTGATCTTACCATACGATCCTATAGGAGATAGGATGCCTATAAGAGCATGCAGAAGGAAGGATGATTAGAAATCTACAAGTTCTAGATTTATCTCTTTGCATTGAATTCATCACAAGCCTTAATTAACCAAAGTCAATTATTCAGTTTCTGTCCAGATGTATAAATGACACTATTTTCAAAAGCCTAAATGAGAGTTTTTCATTGAGAATATATGATTATACAAGAGCCTTCATATAGAGATTCAAAGACATTTAAACCAAGCGCACGACTGTATTAATGGGAAGCACATGTATAATTTGTTGCAAATACAAATATAATATAAAATTAAGAAGGACTGGACAACACAAGACGTAGATAAATATGTATATATATATATATATATATATATATAAGCACTTTCATTGAAAACATTTACACAAAATTATTGTATTGCAAAAATATATTTGATTTATCATTATGATTAGCGATTAATAAATATTATTAATCCTCCTGGGTCTACTGTGCCTAAAAGGAGAAAAGCAAATCATGGTGATACTAAGGTCTTGCCTTGATCACCTATACTTTGTCTCTAGTTAAGACAATTAGAAAGAGTTTTGTGTACATCATACAAGCGAAATGCAGTTCTTACATTTTGAACTTGATAGTTCCCTATGAAAGCAATGGTGAAAACTATATATGTTTTTTTTTTACAGCAAGTATATATTTCCTCTATGTTGCCTAACAAGGCAAATAAGAAACGGTCAATACTGAACACTGCATTTAAAAAGTACCGTAATACTTTTGTAACAAAATGACCAGTCTACAAATGTAGTCAAAAATGCTTTTCCCCTATAAATCATGTAATGAAAAACTGTATTTACCTGTTATAATTAAAATATAGTTGCATACATCAGTAGTTATATCATCATCATTTGTGAACTGGTCTATTAAAAAATACAAAAAAGAGCATGCTTTTCCCTTTGTGTTTTGTTTGAAAATTGTTTTAAAGCCTAATTTCTCCCTAAAGCCCACCAAACGCTATATGATCTTCCTGCGATCAGATTTTCAAAGAAATAGCAAATTATATAGATATAGAAATCTCAAGAAACATCATCTTCCTGATGTAGGTTCTAAATAATGATAAGAATACTAACAACCAGAACATCAGTGCATTTAAGCCTTCTATTTAGATTAAAACATGAATTGGCATCAAATTGTATACAATCACACTACTGGTATGACATCATTACGAATCTGAGCAGATTTACCTATTCCTCCTCCAAGGAAGCTTGAAATCAATTGAAATATTAATTTCATTAATTATATGACTATTCAAATCATCAATCATTAAAGTTTAGAAGCTTGAATGTTCATATCAAACGTATTGCAACTTATTCCAAAATCAGATCGCTGTCAGATCGTATAGTGTGCCCTGGGTTTAAAATTCAACATGCCGAACAAGGATATAGATTATGTATGTTTCGTTTTGACTAACCTGGATTAGCGGAGCTCTCTTCTATGTAGATGGACCTTGTTCTTTGGACGATGCCATGGAAACGGGAGGAGGACCGGGGGTTATCTCCCGTGCCCTTATCCAGCGTGTGAATAGATGATGATCGTGGAATCTCTATCGGGGTCGAGGTCAAGAGGTGAATCCCTCCTTCATCTTCATCGGAGGACTGCTGGAGTTGCTCCTGGTGCAGGATGTGCAGATGCTGTTGAAGGTCATGGTGGTTGCCGTGGTGATGGTGGTGGGAGGCGGTGGGGTCTAATTGCTTTGCACCTCGTAGGCAAGGCTCGGGGACAGAGGAGTCGCTGGATGGCTCTAGGGCCTGAGAGAGTTCTGAACCTGGAAAGTAGTCATAAAGAATGATAATAATAGAATGTTAGTAATCTGATACATGCAGAGAGAAACAGACAGAGCGCGTCAAAGAGATTGAAAAATAAGATTGCAGAAAAATTAGATAAGATAGCATAAACCTGAGGGAACCACAGATTTGTTATTTTTTTTTATACCAAATTTCTAACTTCAACCCTAGACCCAACACTGAACATAACCCTTAAAGCCTCGGTCACAAATACCGTTACGAACTGCTACGAACGCCGTACGAACGATTTTCAGATAATGGAAATTTGGGAAGACAATGGAAAAACAGGAAGATTTGTACGAAATAATTGTTCGTACGAACCTTTGTGACCGTAGCTTCACCTAACCCGTACCCTAAACCAAAAATTGAAATTAACCTCAAACCCCATTTACAACCTAAACATGTCTCCTTCACCCTTGACAAAATGAAACCTTGAGCGATTGTATGATTACCAAGGAAATGTGAAAGAAGAGGGAACACTATCATTTAAAAAATGATAATTTTCAGGTAGATCTAAAAAATATACCACATAATTGCGGTATTCTGCTGGTATGATAGCCAATCAAAGCACTAAAAAGCATGTCAAACACATCATATATTCTAGTTATCTAGTACTAAATACAAGTTTACATACCTGAGGTGGAAAAGCCCTCCAGATAGCTCAGTTTCTCTATGCATGATGTATTGATGATGTCAGATAGATTCCTCAACTGGACCTGAACACCGTTCACATATCCAGATTGAAACTTTTGAAAGATGTTGATCATGGCTCTCTGGACATCATCATCTTCTGCAAGGGGTCAAGAAAGAGGAGATGGGGGGAGATAATGAAAAGATCACAAATGAAAAACAGGAAAATAAAATTGAGGGAAAGTAGAGGGTGCAAAGGGGGGGGGGGGACTAAAGAATATATATAACCTGTAAGAGGAAAATATATGAATCATACAGATATCTTAAAAATTACAGAATTCAAATGGTTTTGAAATATTGGCATCTGCATCTTTATAGGCCTTTATGAAATATCATGAACAAAAACTAAAAAAATTGCAAAGTTCTAACATTAGAATATATAAACCAAATCAAATACATGTATTTCTTTTTATAACAGTGTTATTATTTCAAAGAGACAGAGCTGTATACTGGAAATTCAATTATAATAGTGAATAGCTATAAAAATGCAACATCAAGCTTCAAAAGAAAACCTACATACCCTAATATAGCAAAATATGTCTCTTTTAAGGTTTACTACCCCTTGATAATAATAAGTGTGCATATATATCGGACAAAACCATAGATATGGCATATGCTTTTCATACAGAAGACATGGGATTGGCTTGAAAAACTAAAAAAGCATGACTGAGACACAAGGGCCTAAGTTCACAAAGGAGGTTTAAATTTAACCCATCGTTTAAACCCTCATTTACATAACCCATGGTCTAATATTGGACCTCTGACTTGGGTCGCGCTTATTTTGCGCTGATTTTATACCATGGTTTATGTAAATGAAGATTTAAACCATGGGTTAAATTTAAACCTCCTTTGTGAATTTGGGCCAAGATGTCAGCAATCTCCTGAATTGGTCTTGACCTACCCATCATGCTGTGCCTGACCTCTATGCACATGGTTGGTCGACCCAGCTCTCTCCAGTTATACCTGAGATAGGACATGTCATTCATACAGATGCTGGCTAGAAGGTCATTGTCAAGGGCAAGGTAGAACTGATGATGGTCCAAGAACTGAAGCACGATGAGAGGAAAAAAAAATATATATATATATATAAAAAAGTACTGGTCAACTGAAGAACAATGGTTCCATGGAAATTATAGATATATATATATATATACATGTACCGGTATGAAAGGGTAAAATGACAGATCTACTTATATTGGAGGCGTGATGCCCTCTTACGAGTTGCTTTGTAGTCTTTTAGCCCTGTAAGTCTGCATCATGGGTGGCAACTACACAGTCATGTAAAGTTTTTTAGTTTTAATGCTATCCAATATTGCATATTTAAAAAGAAAATACATGATTCATATGTGTGTGCACTAACAAAAAATATATAACTAAAATGAATATGTTTCAGGGATTTTTAAATGCTATGAAGCATATCCTAAACATGAGGAAAAATTGAATGAACCTAGCTTTGACCAGCATTATACAATCAAGAAAACACTAATTATAAAGGCTCCTTTCAGTAACTTAATCTATATTCTGTGTATGATGAGTGAGTGTGTGGTACTAAGGGGATTAATAACTTACCTGTGGTAGAAAAGCTATGATTTTTTCATGGATTGCGTAGAGTTTACTGGTGCTAAGGATACCCACTTCTTTCTTCACGTTTCCAGATAATCCAAGTTTATCATTGTGACCTACATATATGAAGTAAATCCATTCAATAATAATAATAATAGGCATTTCTATAGCGCCATGTATCTAGATAATTCTATTCCGAGGCACATTTATCATTACCCTGGCTTTAGCCTAGCAGCCCTTTATACAGCGCTCCAGCATTTCAAGGAATTAATTCCTGCCAGGTACCCATTTACATCACCTGGGTTGAGTGTGGCAAATGTAGATCAATGTCTTGCCAAAGGACATTAGTTCAATTAATACTTGTCCAAAAAAGTCATAACAAATCATGTGTTCACCCATGTAAGCTAAAGAAAGTGGAATTCATGAGTAAAGGACATGTATTACAACATCTTATTATGAATGCCTGGCATAACATATATGTAGACCACCATAATGCTTTACTTAATAGCCATACAATCTCTCTGGTAAAGATTCATAATTAGATGACCACAGCATAATCACAGAAACTTTATACCATATTTCCTCTATATAATATATAACACTACTGGTACTGGTATGTATCAAAAATATGTAAGAATACATAAAAGGACATGAAGAATTTAAATATTCATATGAGTATCAATAGTAAAATGTCCATCACTTGGAATAATCAAATTCTAGATAATAAAATGAGCAAACATAAAAATATAGACAGTCTGATTGTATCAAATATATAACAGGTGTTCAATAACAATTACATAATTGATCATGCATACAAGCATAAATGCACTTGACCTGGCTGTACTTCAATTACTCACCCATGAGTCTTGTTATATTGCACAGCGCCTTCGCAGGACGTATTTTGATAGGAGCGACCTCTGCTACCGTCTGGATCTGGATGCCGTGTTCTTTCATCTTTTCCTGAATGTAATTATCTTCGGCCAATAATGCAACTGAAGATTTTAGGAAGGACAAAAAAAGTGGTTCCAAGTTTAGACATGCCAAAACAGCTCACAGGTAAATGAAAAACATGCACAACCCCTTTCACCTGTAAGTTTTCATCAGTGACAAAGGAAGGCATTATGTTAGTCAGACATACATGTCATCATGAGTAATATCAAGAGTATTAGACCTCACACATGAATCAAAATAGGATACCTGAACTAAAAATCGAATTAGATCCATGTCATACAATTGATATGATATGTAATGAAAAGTACATGTGACCTCTTAATGCTCATACAGATGTACTAAGCTGCAAGGCTACAATACAAATACAATACCAGGTACTACATGCAAGGTCTACAAAACACACAGACACTCAATATAAATCATTTCATCATTTGATTCTCAGCACTATTCAAAACACACTGAATTATCTCATACTCTAGTCTTATACAAAGCAAGTGTTGAATTGCAGCTAATCCTAACCTACACACCAAAACATTTTGTCTCATATTGTTTTAGAAGTTCTCATGGTTAATTTAAAGCAAAGGTTACCAACAAATCATGAGGACTTGTGCTCCAAGAAACTGCTCTGCATAAAATGCCCTAAATAAAGAAGACTTTCAACTCTTTTGCTTTGGCTTATAACAAGTGTATGTAACATATGCTGAGAGTGGACAGTAGGGTCTTTTAAAGAGGGACTGCACTACTTGTAGCTACTTGTGCCTCTATATAGCCAACAATGCCTAAGCGGTACCCTTTGGTCCCCCAAGATCCCATTTTTCTTATGTTAATTGAGAGCTGATTTGATGAGATAACCACCTGCCAGTGACCACACAAGGAGGTCTAATCCCTCCTGGCCAAACTAGTGCAGATAGGCGTTAGGATATGCTTTGCATGATTCTTGTCGACTGTTCCACCATACCTTGAATGACAAGATCCGGTTTGGGTTCCGTAGAGAGTCGTCTGTTGAGGGGGTCAATCTCACCCGGTGCTATGAAACCTTCCCTGAGGAGACAGCCCAGGATGTACAGGGACTGCCCCCACAGCTGAGGCATCTTACCACCGGGTAAACGGTCCTGGCTGCCAGGGTTCTTGTATTCCAGCTCAACCTGTAAAACACGGAGAAGGTCATATTGAAGGTCACTCTGAAGGTCATAATGAAGGTCATAGAGGAAGGACAATTGAACCTGGTGAAGCCTTCCCTAAGGAAACAGCCCAGGATGTACAGGGACTGCCCCCACAGCTGAGGCATCTTACCACCGGGTAAACGGTCCTGGCTGCTAGGGTTCTTGTATTCCAGCTCAACCTGTAAAACATGGAGAAGGTCATATTGAAGGTCACTCTGAAGGTTATAATGAAGGTCATAAAGGGTGGACCTGGTGAAGCCTTCCCTGAGGAGACAGCCCAGGATGTACAGGGACTGTCCCCACAGCTGAGGCATCTTACCACCGGGTAAACGGTCCTGGCTGCTAGGGTTCTTGTATTCCAGCTCAACCTGTAAAACATGGAGAAGGTCATATTGACAGTCACTCTGAAGGTCATAATAAAGGTCATATAGGGAGACAGCCAAGGATGTACAAGGACTGCCCCCACAGCTGAGGCATCTTACCACCGGGTTAACGGTCCTGGCTGCCAGGGTTCTTGTATTCCAGCTCAACCTGTCAAACACAAAGAAGGTCATATTGAAGGTCACTATGAAGGTCATATAGGGAAGACAATTGAACCCGGTGAAGCCTTTCCTGAGGAGACATCCTAGGATGTACAGGGACTGCCCCCACAGCTGAGGCATCTTACCACTGGGTAAACGGTCTTGGCTGCCTGGGTTCTTGTATTTAAGCTCGACCTGTAAAAACATTGAGAAGGTCATATTGAAGGTCACTCTGAAGGTTACAATGAAGGTCATATAGGGAGGACAATTGAACCTGGTGAAGCCCTCCCTGATGAGACATCCCAGGATGTACAGAGACTGCCCCCACAGCTGAGGCATCTTACCACCGGGTAAACGGTCCTGGCTGCCAGGGTTCTTGTATTCCAGCTCAACCTGTAAAACATGGAGAAGGTCATATTGAAGGTCGCTTTGAAGTTTTTAATGAAGGTCATACAGAAAGGACAATTGTACCTGGTGAAGCCTTTCCTGTGGCTTTCAGCATCCAATCTATTATCAAATAATTTGCACATAATTACAAATTGGTTTTGTAATGAAATTTGTTCACATACTATACCAGGATATAAGTAACAATTGACTAGATGACTACAAGAAAATACCTGGTCAAATCAATATCAATCATATCAATATCCTCCTTGTAATTACAAATACATAAATAAGCAAATGGATCTGAATTACCTTATCAGCTGGTACATAGTAGAGTTCTGGCATGACCTTGGTGCCATTGGGGTTCCTTTGAATGAGTTCCTCAAGGGCTTCACTGTATTCATCCACCTGTTCTTTGCTGCCTCTAAAGATACCATCCAGGACAAGGTAAGTCCAGAACAGAGGCCACTCACACTCAATGTTCTCAAAGACCTTCAGTTCTGCAGGCTCGTAGTACAGTCTGTTCGGGTCCTGGGAAGACAAGTACGGTAGATAAAGAATTGTGAATTTGTATGAGGAGACATATAGGGCTCAGTCAGTAGTGATCTTGGAAAAACTAGATGGAATTCGACTGCGCGCAGTCGAAAATGATGCCTCCGTCATAGAGCAATTTTACAAACCAAAACAGAAGAAATTTTTCGGATTCAAGTTCAATTGTAATCCATTGACAGGTTCTCAGAATATCGTGATTACAAGCAATTTCTCATATACATATATATGACCCTTTGATCTTTGACCTCATGACCCTAAAATCTACTCAGTTCATTGGCTCTGCAAGATGTCCTGAGTTAAATAGTAATCCATCTGTCAGTTCTAATGAGAATGCGTTCACAAGCTATTTTTGCATACATAATGAGCCCATGATCTTTGACCTTTGACCTTATGAACCAAGAATCTACTCAGTTCATTGGCTCTGCAAGTAACATACATGACCTAATTTTGGCAGGAATCCATCAATCGGTTCTTGAGATAACGCGATCACAAGCTGTTATTGCATACATAATGTGTGCTGTGGCCTTTGACCTTTGACCTCATGACCACTAAATCTAATCAGTTCATCGGCTCTGCAAGTAACATACATGACCTAAGTTTGGCAGCAATCCATCAATCGGTTCTTGAGATAACGTGATCACAAGCTGTTTATGCATACATAATGAGCCCTGTGACCTTTGACCTTTAACCTCATGACCCCAAAATCTAATCAGTTCATTGGCTCTGCAAGATACATACATGACCAAAGTTTGGCAGGAATCCATCAATCGGTTCTTCAGATAACACGATCACGAGCTGTTTTTGCATACCTAATGAGCCCTGTGACCTTTGACCTTTGACCTCGTGACCCCAAAATCTAATCAGTTCATCGGCTCTGCAAGATACATACATGACCAAAGTTTGGCAGCAATCCATCGATCGGTTCTTGAGATAACGCGATCACGAGCTGTTTTTGCATACCTAATGAGCCCTGTGACCTTTGACCTTTGACCTTTGACCTCGTGACCCCAAAATCTAATCAGTTCATCGGCTCTGCAAGATACATACATGACCAAAGTTTGGCAGCAATCCATCGATCGGTTCTTCAGATAACGCGATCACAAGAACGGGACGTACGTACAGACGTACAGACGTACGTACGTACGTACGGACGGACAACCCGAAAACATAATGCCTCCGGCTACTTCGTAACGGAGGCATAAAAAATATCGACACTCAATGGACTAATTCAGTACACTCTTGCCATAAGGGCAAGAATGAAATGCCTCAATTACCTTCTCCTACAGATACGGTAGGACTTGAATCTGTTAGTCTTTGGGATAGTGACCAATTTGACTTCATAAAACCATGGCAATTATACCACCACCATCATCATCATCATTGTTTAAATCATCATCACCACCATCATAACTGGGACTTGATTAGAGTCACAAATACCTCCTAGACATCATCATCATAAAAAAAATCACAAGTACCAAAACAACTGTTATCTCTGGAATTACTATTATTACAATCATAAGTTGGACTTGATCGGATCCATATCATTAACATATATTATCATTGCTTTCTTTTTAAAAGCCTGTCTGCACTAGTTTGGCCAGGGGGAATTAGACCTCCCTGCAAGGTCACTGACAGGTGGTTATCTCATCAAATCAGCTCTCAATTAATATGAGAAAAAGGGGATCATGGGGGAGCAACAGTCACTGATTAGGCATTGTTTGCTATATAGAGGGCACAAATAGCTATAAGTAGTGCAGTGGGGCTTAAAGTGGTGATCATCTTATCACCATTGCAATAACCTCACCCTACCTCTACTGAGAAACTCTAGCCTTCAACACTCAGCCATAACACAGCTAGAAAGAAATTACAAGTACTTTACCTCTTTAGCAGTTTGGTGTCCATCTCTGAGGAATCGCTTGCACCCATATCTCCCTTGGAGCTTGTCTAGGATCTGTTGTCTTGTCACGTTGATAATGGATTCATCATCCACTGCGAAGGCAGGGTAACCAATGACACTTAGCAACCCTGCATCTATCTCCTAAGATGTCAAGGCAAAGGAACGTTCAATCAATACATGGAAATGCTTCATGGACAAAGTATCTATTTACAATGTAGAATTGTCACAAATTTGACTTGTTAATAGTTAAATGTGGTCACAAGACTGGGGCTTTGTTTAAACTTGCATTACCTCTACATGATCAGAAGTAACCATATTATTGGTCACATTTAGTTCAAAACCTGTCCCAACTTCAATGTGAAACACTTGTATCCTGATGATGCTCATGAACAAGCAATTTACATGGTCATTAGACAATACTTTTATAAGGGGACCTCAAATAAAAGCTTCTATAAAATTATTGTGATTTTTTTTTAAATAACAGGACTATTCTAATGGGAATTTTCTTTACTTTCCTGCATCAAATGATTCAGCATAAAATCTGCTAAGGACATTAACTTTGTTGGAATGCTTACAGTGTCTAATCTTCCAAAGAATCATCCTGACACTATCCAACACTCAAATATATATATATGAAGAAAGCACTAACCTTTGAACTTTACTCTCTAAGTAACATGGAGTGAAGGATGGCTTAACACTTTTAATAACAACACTATTCTCAAAATATTTTTCTAGACTTTTCTTCATGAATTATGTAGCATAATATCCTGACAGTCTGATGGACATTAACTTTGTTTTCAAAGAATACAAGTCACGCCCATATGGCGCTTGGGAGACATGTTAGTGGAATGCTTACAGTGTCTTATCTTCAACAGAATCACCCTGACACTATCCAACCATTCAAATACAGTGAAACCTGTCTATAAAGACCATCCAAGGGAGACAAGAAAAGTGGTCTTTATAGGCAGGAGGTCTTTGTAGACATGTTTCAATGAGAAATCATTTTCAAGGGAAACGGAAAATGGGGTCTTTGTAGACAGGTGGTCACTAAAGCAGGTTTGACTGTTTTTATATGAAGAGATCACTGACCTTTGAACTTGACTCCCGAGGCAGCATGGAGTGAAGGATGGCTTGACATTGGGCTATTTTATCAGAGTGAACATGGATGACTGACTTCCTACCACCTCTAGCTCCAAACAGGTCTAAATCATTGATCGCCTCCATAGCACCCTGATATAACATAATAAGTACAGAGAATCGCGTTGAAAAGAGCCATACTAAAGCTTTTCGTCTGGAACTCATCATATCAAAATGCAAGAATGAAACAGAAAGCCAAAATCGAACAATGTAAACGTAAACTAAAAGGAACAAGGCGTGAATATAACAAGCTCTGATTGGCTGTCTAAGGTAACAGTAAATTAGACTTATTGCCAGCCAGTTATACCGTTATAATGGCTAAATTAATACGAGCGTCCAAACAAACTCATTCTGTCTGCATGGAAGAATAAGATAAGTACATTAACTAATTTAATGAGGATTCACTTTTTGTTAAAGAAAATAAAGAGAACAAACAAATGATTACAAAACAAAGAGCAAAACAACAAAGAAAGGGGAAACATAACAAGTATAGACATTCATAAGATATGAGATGGTGGCTTTTACACATATATTATTAATGATTTACTAATAATAATCAATATAAGGGGCATTACTTCATCATAAAGTGATATAATAATCAATTATAATATTTGTAGTTCACGATCCAAAAGGATGCTCAAGGCATCTAAAGGGGCAAGTACTTTCTCAGGCATGAGCTACAAACTTAGAAATACAAGTGGGAAAGAGTGCAAACATTTGCTCTTTTTTGCTGTTATCATGAAATAAAAACACAGGCTTGTTTACATGTAGCTTGGATACTCTAAATGATGTGTTGCGCATCTTACAGACAAAAAATCTGAATGCAACAAAATCTTTTCAGTCAAAACATATCACGGGATGACCGAAATATATATATTTTTATATATTTATTTTTTCATAAACAAAGGAACCCGTTAGGGCAAACACTTGTGTGTGATTGCAGATGCTTTCAATAATCAATTCTTAATAAAGTTAAAGAATGAATATATAGATGAATTTGAAGCTGCTTACAGTACCTTGGCCATTCCTATAGAGGTGGAGTTCAATTCTGGTTGACCATGATTGGTCTTGTCTCCTCTCTCCCATACACCATAATCCTACGAAGGAAGAAGGGATGAAAGTTGAATGAATTACTATGTTTTTATTTTCAATGGTCTTATCTTCTAGTGCTATATGAATGAGAGTTGCATGAAATGTCAAATATCTCAAATGTAGTTATAAACTTACATTATGATTGTAGTACTGTATAGTGATATGTAATATCCAAAACAATAATACTGAAGAAAAAAATCAAGCATTTGTTTTCTCATCAGTTTCATGTAAATAACAATCAACAATCAATGTGTTACCAAGCTATGTCTTGTTTCTCTATTAAAATGAGGGTGAACTTTAATAGTAACACATATTAAAAGTAAATTCCAGCCCCTGCTTCATATAATATTAGTTTACGACCTGGTAACCATATTGTCAGAGATTGAAATACATGTGCCGCATATTTCATTACAGTGATTTATTTTGAATAAAAGATTTCAGGAGCATATTACTGTTTAATATATTAGACTTCCTTCTGTTAAAACATAAATTCTTCAATATATCAACTCACCGCTATCCTGTAAGCTTCTTCGATGTAAAAGACAAGGTTTTGGATAAATGCCACTTCATCTAATGTGAATACTATCTGCAGACCTATTTGGAAGTAAGCATAAGAATTTTTTAATTAAAAAAATTAATAGTACTGATGGCCCACCTTCAATCTATATGACAATAAGGCAATAATAAATACAGCAATTGCATTACATTAGCAAGGACAGGTCTCCAAGCTGACTTTTAAGTAAATGGCACATTTTACATCGTACATGTATATAAAACATTGTACATACAAAAACAATAGTCTCCTTTTATTTGGATATCATATTCGTTTTCAGCAGAGTCCTTGTTAGTGTCTGTTGAAGTATAAGCGAAATATAAAACATATCAGATCCTGTTATTTTTGAGAGTAGAAGAAGATGTGGCATAGAGATGTAGCATCAGTCTGGAGGTGTATGGAATCTCCTGAATATCATGGGGCCATTTTCTTTTGGGTCCCCCCCCCCCCCAGAACTGGGCCCCATTTCACAAAACTTGTCATCAGTGGCAAATGACAGTTTTTGTTATAAGCTAGTGAAATCCTTGCTTCTGATTGGTTATCAGCAGATTTGTCATTTGTCATTGAAAATAGGCTTTGTGAAACAGGTCCCTGGACTAAATATGAAACATACCAGACACAGTCATTTGTGAGAGGAGCAGCAGGTAGAGAGATGTAGCATCCAGCTGAAGATGTCCCCATTCACTGTCGCTGACACACGTATCCCCTGTCTCACTGTCGTACTTGGCATGCAGGCAGTCTCCAGGGCTTTGGGTGAGTTTGAAGGATTCTACCTTGTCCACCTGTTTCATCATACTCGTTAGCAGGCCACGCATCAGCTTTACAACTCGCTGTCATTGATATGAGAAGATACAATATCTTTTTCATTATCACAAGCATATAAATATGTTTAGGGCTGACAGTCTACTATCTGGAAAATAGAAAGATCATAACATAGAGAAAAGTTATGAAATGTCCAAAAAAGTTTAATTTTTCCAATGAATTGTCATTTTTAGTGTGTTATGAAATGTATTTGATCATTGCACACATTGTACAAAGCGTTCATTGATGACCTACTAAAGGAACTGCAAGAGAAGAACCTAGGATGCACAAAAGGTTGCCGTTTCTCCGGCATTATTGTATTCGCCGATGATGTTGCTCTCCTCAGCAAATCATCGGCAGAACTTGAGCAGATGTTAGAGACACCTTTGACTACGTCAGACACTGGCATTACAAAATCAATCCTTCAAAAAGTGCAGTGATTGTCACCAGCAAGGCAAAGCAACCTACAGGTTCACCTTGGGTAGTTATATGGGTCAACCATTGAGGAGAAAGTCACTCATCCACATCTTGGTATCTTCAAATCCGGTGCATGGCACGACCCAACAGATAACATCATTGGAACGGGTCTCCATACTTTCTACGCCCTCTCTGGTACAGGTGCATATACCGGTGGTCTCATCCCTACACTTGTATCCCAACTGTGGAAAACCTTCTGCATCCCGAGAATGTTCCATGGCTCATCCATAATCATATTCACAAAATCAATGCTGCTGAAACTAGATAGGGCCCAATCACATCTTTTCAAACAGATATTGGGGGTGCCAAAGTCTGCTGCTGATGAGATAGTCTACCTGCTCACCAACCTCCTACCAGTTTCCATGCAGATAGACCTCGGCAGACTGATGCTTCTAGGCCAACTCACTAAGCTTGACCGCAGCTGTTTTGAGTTCAGACATTTTTAGAAGTCCTCATGACGGTTACACCCACAATACTGGTTCTACAAGAGACAGTGAGGAAGTATGATCTTCCAGACCTCCATAGCCTCGTCTCGAACCCACCCCTTTACTCAACCTGGAAACGGATGATCAAATACAAAGTCAACCTGGCGGTAAAACACCATACACTACAAGGAATCTGCTCTAAGTCCTCTCTCAAGTTCTGGATAGATAACACTCCACCCTCTGCAAATCTCCTATATCCAAAGAACGCACCATCTCCTCCTATCCCTTATAGCGTGAGCCCAACTACTCACATCCACATACTTGACACAATGCCATCTCTTCGCGTAAAAAAAAAAAATCAAATATCTGTACATGCCCTCTTTGTAAAACTGATGATGAGACAGTGGAGCACTTTGTTGGACTCTGGACCATCTCTGTCAGGAATTTATCAGCAAAGTCAAAGAATGCCTCATCGATTATCCCATCTGTTTAAACTTGTATGATGATGAAGACCCACAGCAATTTACCCGTTACTCTGTTACCCTTCATCCATGCCTGCCATCCGAAATTCATAATAGCCTTCTTCTACTATCCCTCTTTTTTCTATACAAAATTGATGCCTGTCGTTTTAATGCTATCCAAAGCTACTAACCGGTTGGATTTACACGTTTACTTTATTTGGACTCCAGGAATCTCCAAAATAGTGGAGGGATCAACTAAGAAATGTGAAGCTTTAATTACATTCATAACAAAAGTGAACAAAAAATGATGCAGTTGAATACTGGACATTTAACTGTATACGTATCCGTTGGTGATACTAAAATCTAATGCAACAATTAGTATATCTTCACTTTTCCCTACCTGGTGATTCGTTTTAAGTCATAAAGTTTACCCAAACCCCAAGTTTAAAATTCTTTCACTCATGCAAAATAGTTTCCTTCCCCGAATGCATAAATATGGTTAAAAGTTGCCCTCCTGACATTCAAAACTCTCTTTCAAGTATAAAGAATCTTGGTGCTATTATAGTGGAAACCTTATCACACTAATCCTTCTATCCATACCTGTTCCAGCTCGTAAGCTTTGGCCCTGTCTTCATCCAGATCCGCCTGCTTGCGATAGGCCAAGGCCAGGCCCCAGACAGAGATGATGCTGTACACATTATCCCTCACCCAGGCATGCTTTTGGTCTGCAGTTGCTTGTAATAAACCAGATATAGGGTTCTACAGAGAATCAGAAAAGAAGAAACAGAAATGTTTAGAAAAATAGCTGTATGATACTTTGGGTTTGGAAATTTATCTGTTAACATTAATAAAGCTTTCACCACCGTAAAAACAAATTGGTTAGTTTTCCATGATCCTAACAGTATGGTGCTGCGTCTGCTGCATGCACAAAAAGCGGTAGTTAAATTTACTGGCCTGAGGAAAGCAAACCTTCTGCCTGTTAACTGTAGAGACTGAAATCAACCACATGTAGCCAATTATTCTGTCAGCGTTTACTCAGAAAACTATTTTAATATGTAACAATTTTAAAAACATATCAGAGTGGTTCTGAAGGAATTAATTCCTATTGAAAATACATTTTAATGAGAAATTCTTTTGTCTGTTCCATCTGTCTAGGAACACGTCAACCTAGATCTAGATCTACATGTAATAAGTTTAAATTTTAAAAAGTCCTGCAACTCTGAGAGAGCCAATTTAAAATTAATATTAAAGTATTTTTTGGATAAACATTGATATTAATATACACTTTTTCGTAGGTTTCACTGCAAACCGCTGCACAACCTGTGAAAAAAGTGTATAGATCTACTAATATCAATGTTTTTCCGAAAAATACTCCAAAAATAACAAGAAAATTGACACAAAACAGGTGATAAACAAACATGACTTTTAACTCACGATCTTTATTTGGACATTTAACCATTTAATGAATATTTACTTCATTTTGGGTATGTTTTAGTAGGGGATCTCCACGCCAAAGTTACAGGTCAAATTTTTGATAGGTTTCTGAACAAGCGCCGAACTTAGAAGGTCTAGATCTACGTACGTCATGTGTGCGGAGACTCTACTCTATGGACATTTTCTATTTCTTTGTAACTCATGAATATGGATATGTATACGACATCAACTGTTTAATTTAGTTGTTGTTACCCACTTGAATATATTTGTAACATTGTGTTATGTTGTAAATAAATTCTAATTCAAATTCACATCCACACACGAAGCAAATATATCGTTTATCCATGTACAATGAGTTTACGAGCACCCATTGGGTGATCAATCTAGCAAAAAAAATCCCAAGTAACGCCCCCGGGCGCTGATCCAATCAGAAAATTGATGCGTAAATCAGGTTGACCTTAGTTTGACTTGGGCGGCTACTTTGCTCTTCCGTTCGGGCGTCCGATCGATACCTCGGTTTTCCGAACGATTCCTCAGTTAGGTTTTTCTGGTTTCGGATAATACCGACAAGTTTAATGACCGTGGGAAAGCGAGCCAAGTTATGCGCATTGCGGCATGATTTGAGTTCATGGAAAGTTCAACTGCGCGTGCCTCGCCAGCTCAAGGAATGCAGTCTAGTCATTGGTGTTATAATTAGCATTGGCGAAATGAAAATCATAATCTGATGGAGGAGATTAATTATGTGCAATATTAATTGTCATGATGATTGGCACAGCAGGTTCTTCCATTCATTCATATTTTGATGTTGCATGTACTTTTATCCTTCCTCTCACTCTCTCATCCCTTTTCTCTATCTGAACTTGCTATACTTTTCAGATTTTCCTTTTCTTCTTCAGTTCTGGTCTTTCCTCTCTATTTCTATTTCACTCCCACCCCGTCTCTCTGTCTGTATCTCTCTCTCTCTCTCTTTCTCTCTCTCTCTCTCTCTTTGCTCTTTCTGCCTCTTCCTCTTCCTCCCTTCGTCTCTCCTTCATCCCCTCTGTTTCTCTCTCACACTTTCTGTCCCTCCCTCCTCCTCTCCACCTCTTTTCTCTTATGATGATGTTTTACAGTACAACATTCTATAATTATGTTATTTTTATCATATTTTGTGGGTTGCACAGGAGCAGGGTCCACGTCCCGCAACCTGGGTGTCATGATTTCTTGAAGCCATGATAGCTGATGCTCCTACATGTATGTAAATACATACATGTATTAATACATTTAAATATCAATTTACCAATTAAAATGGAAAACAAGTTCATAAACATTAGACACGATTGTCGTAATGAGCTGTGCTGCTCATAATTAGGAAATGTATTAGTTGTACAAAGCAAAAGAGATGACTCAATGAGTGCGGACAGGCGCGGATCCAGGGCGAACGGACTTTGCCGCCCCCCCCCCCCCCTCCCGCAAAAAGAGAGAGAGAGAGAGAGAGAGAAAGAAGGGAAAGAGGAGAGAAAGGGAAAGAAAGAAGAGGAAGAAGAAAAGAAAAAGGGGAAAGGAGATCGGGCGGCGAAAGGGCCTTGCCTCCCAGCTGTTACCTCCCCCTCCCCCCCCCCCCATCACAAAATAAGAGAGAAGGAAGGAAAGGGAAAGGAAAAAGAGGAGGGAAAGGAAAAAGAGGAGATAAAGGGAAAGAAAAAAAGAGAAAGAAGATGGTTAAGGTGTAGATTGGGGGGGGGGGGGCACTGTCGCACTGATGGGGGGGGGGTGGGCTTGGGGAAGGGGTGACAGATGCCCCTAAAATATAATTCAAACGTGGTTTATTTCTAATTCGATACCGGTGATTTACAAATATTACTAAAATGACATGATTTTCCTAGATTTTTTTATGAGTGTTGGGAAATGGCAAATTCCTAAATAAGGAAAAAAGAATAGTGACCTGCCTTTGTCACAAAATAATGAGGTGTCAAAATGTGCTCATCTGACCGTAATTAAAAGCCTATATTCCCTGAGCTTCTGTGTGCTCCTCCCCTTGACCCCCGCCGGGGCTTCGACCCTAGACCCCACGCCAATTTACGTTACGTTGATCGTTTCTACCCCCCCCTCAAAAAAAACAACAAAAAAAACACCAACAACAACAACATCAACAATAACACGTTTTTGCTCATTTCGCCACTGCTGGTGTCACCATTACGTACCAATATTTGGCTTGCATAATTTCAAACCCCCCCCCTAAGAAATTCTGGATCCGCGCCTGAGTGTGGAGGTATATGTATGTATTGATTGATTGAGTTTTATTCGACAAGCTTCGAACATACAACATTATACAATAATAACAAATCCACAATAAGTCAGCTTGAACAGGATAACCCACGAGAGCTTATTTCCAGTGGGGTCCCTTACAGACATGTATAAAATTAATAAGTAAAAATAGTCATATTACAGACAGATAAGAAAAATAAAAAATTACCTTTTAAAGATAATAATAATAACAACATTAAACTGATGATAGAAATGATAATAAGTACAAGAAGAAAAGGAAGAAGGAGAAGAAGAAAAAGAGGAGGAGGAAGAAGAAGAAAATAATGATGAATTAGTAGAATTTCTATAACGTACGAAAACATAAATATATACAAAATGAAAAAGTATGAACCGGCAGAAGAAAACAAATTTCAATCACATGTCATTCACTTCTCCGACTGTCAAGTATTAGGTATTCCTTTAATTTCCTCTTAAAATGAGCATAGTTTTTTTTTTGAGCTTTGAAAATTGACATCCAACACAAGGCCCCCCCCCCCCCCCCCCCGCTCTCTCTCTTTCTCTCTCCTTCTCTCTTTCTCTCTAATTATTTATCTCAATGTCATACCCCCTTTCCATCACATCTCACTCTGATCTAATATGAAATTGGACTGAACAGGAAAAGAATGACCGCATCAAAGATGTATGCACTTACATAAGTTACATTTAATGATACCCTCCGACATCTCTGAATAACATATTTGAATACATAGAGTAGAATAGAATAGAAATGGTTCTTATTAGAAAGATCATCGCAGCCAATGGCTGAATTGCGATCCATTTCACAAACATACAATTGCAATTTAAATTGAAATAACACAAAATATGACATAAATCAAAAATCAAACATACACCCCCGATAGGCATTTAAAAAGTCATTGATCAAATTCAAATTTTTGTTAAATAAAAGACAGAGAAAGAGAGAGGTGTAGAGGAGGGAGAGTTGGAGTGATGATAAAGAGAGAGAAAGAGAGGAAGAGAGGAAGAGAGAAAAAGAGAGAGAGAGAGAAGGGGGGACGAAAGAGTGAGACGGAAAGAGAGAGAGATATATATATATATACATTATGAATATAATAAGCGATGACTGAAAGCATAACATTGATAATAATATGATACTAAACATACAAAAAAGAAATATTAAAAAAATAATTACCAAAAAAAAAAGCTGCCCCCCCCCCACTAATTTTTTTTTACCCCCCCCCCCCCAAAAAAAAAAAAAAAAAAAAAAATGCAACATTGTTACTGAAAATAATTTGGGAAACTCAATTATATAATACTGTCAAACGATCAAAATCCTCTCAAGATTTAACCATTTTTATCAAATTTGTCAGTTTTGTTAGCAAGTATACTAACCTGCCTCTCATTTATGAAACTATTACTGATTATTTTATTGTCATATTACAACTTTCCATTTCGGACTTGTATTTGCATTTAATTATTTGACAGAGTGCTTTAATTATTTGACAGAGTGCTTTAATTATTTGACAAAGTGCTTATTATTTGACAAAGAAATTAATGTAGGAATGGAGACCACCAGATCTCGGTTGAGCACCCTTCGGAGCTTAGTTAGTTCCTGGTGTGTTTTTTACAAAACGCCGAAATCACATTGCCGTTTCCCCCAGGCCAGGCAATTTCCCCCAGGCCAGGCAGTTTCCCCCAGGCCAGGCCGCGCAAACGCGTAACCATGGAAATACTACGAACGCTGACCACAACCAGTTCAAAGTACAACATAGTCTATACGCAGTCACAATCAGACGTAAACACGGCGAACGATTTCATACGACACTCAGCTGTATGGTTCGGAATTATTACCGAACAAAGGAAGCAAACTTCGGCTCTGACGCCCTAGCTGTCAATCATACAAAAATGGATACCAAAAACACTGAAATTTCAGGCTTTAAACAGGTGACGCACTTTACACATAGGTGACGCACACATGGCGTTCCATACACATGCAAACGAAACGTGAACGTGAAATTTCAGGAAAAGAATCAAGTTTGTACCTTAAATATGACTTTTTTGATAATTTTTCTTAGTTACCGGTAAATAAGACTTAGTCTATACTTAAGTGAAATACTTAAGTGAAATACTTAAGTGAAAAAATCATTAAAAATAGAGGGTTTGACTGAAATATCACAATTTTGGTATTGAAAAAAACGGAAAATAGTAGGCCTATGCTCTCTCGTCGCACTCAAATTTGTAACGTTAAGCGAATGGCGGGTCTTTTACATCCATTCAGAAGGAACAAGAACGTTGATTCGTGGGCGGGGCGCGGGCGGGTAATTCAAATGAGGCAGAGACCGATTAAACGTAACTGCGCAAGCGCTAAATGTAAGGAACATTGCTTCGTGCCACATCCACTACACTGTTCTGGTTGTGCAATAGCCAGCGGGCAATGGCATGGCATGGCAGCAGCAGGCCAGGCACCGTATACCGGTACTTCACGCGAGAAGGAAGGCTGACGCGAAGCCGAAGGCGAATTATAAATACCGTACGGCCTACCTGATAAGCAAGAATTGTCTCTGAAACTAGACGATAGTAGTAATCTAGTCGAACTCCTGAATTACTTCTGCTCCTCATTCTGAAATATTCGACGTTCCGTTAGCCGATTTCACTAAGACTCATGAGTATTTCTATTTTCTTCCGCAAAGTCTAGATCAAGAGGACACACGATTTTCGTGTTTACATTTTCGCCATTCTTCCCCGGTAGAACATAGCTGCTTAATTTTAACACTGTTTACGATATGAGGATCACTAATGATCACGAAGCAATCAGTATATAGTTGCAGTGACATTTTTGTTTTTTTAAGATTCTTCAGTCATATTTCTTCCATTTCCAATATAACATAATATGATAAGATGTGATAAGATGACAAGATAAGATAACGTAATGTAAAAAACTCAATCATCATGTGTGTTAACTCGTATGGAAGTTTATACTAAAATTTAAAAGATTAAAAAGAATATACTTATATATAGTTTTTACTAATTTTACTGCAGAAGTTAAGCTTGCATTCTAGTCCGTGTCATTTGAAAAAGATATATAAAGAAATATTTTAATTCCACAATAATAGAGTGGCAGATCTAGCAATTTCTTACCGGGGGGGGGGGGCACAAAATCGCATGGGTGAAATATATGAAAAACGATGGAGTGAGGCGTTAGCGGCGAGGGGGCGGAGCGACCAAGCGGGAGAGGGTGTAGGAGGGGTCAGAACCCACTCCCAGAGTAGGAAGCATTTGCAATATTAGAACCACATTAGGCGCATTTTCAGGCACTTCCTGGAGTAATATGACGTGAAATTGCTTTCTCCTACCCCCTCCTTGCACTTTGAGAACCACATTTGGCGTATTCATGGCCATGCACCGGCACTTCCTGGAACAAAACGAGGCCTTCTGATTGGTTAGAAGTTAGACAAAAGTGATCTGTCACGTCGCGAGACGTTGTATTATGCTTCGTTGCTGCACAATGCACAAGACGGTGGTCTGGTACTTCACCAGTAGTACTTGCAAAAATTGCTTTGAGTGTTTAAACTGTGTTGTTATCAGGGTCGTCGACCGAGGGGGGCGGGGGCCTGGCCCCCCCTGGGAAAAAAATCATGTAAAAACACATGATTTTTAGCTTTTGGGGGGGATGCTCCCCCCCCCCCCCCCTGGCACTCAAGGGGGGGGGGGGGTGCAAATTTTCAAATTTTCGAGGGCCAAAAAAAAAAAAAAAATGTGCTCACGAATGTTCTCGTGTGTATATCAGTTCCGAATATGACAATAATAACAATACACTCTTGAAAGTAGAAATTTTCGTTCACTGAATTTGTTGCGAAAGTCAGAAAACAAGTTGGGTAATTGTGTCCATTTCATTTGTATATTTCATCAATGGCTAAACATTTCATTACCTCTAGAATACATCAAATCAAAACTAAAGAAGAATCGAATGGTTATTTATTTCTCACCTGTAATTAAATTCAAAATTGAATTCATGTTTAAAATCATTAAAAATCATTAAATTGGTCCTAACTAGAATTCGGCAGTAGAGGTCAGTGACAACAACACGAATGGGTGAAGCTTTTCTTCACACACCTAATCGGAGATGAAGGTAGCCCATCCAATGTGTAAGAATTGCCAATTTGATAAGTGTAAGGATCGCATTGTACACATACAACCGCTATACTACACACACGCAATATATTCTTTGTGTATTGTATCCGTCAGGTATGATCAGTGCAACGATGGCTGGCTACCAATTAAAATAGGTATGGTGGTCGAATATAATGAAAGTAGATGATGGAGGGGGGGGGGCGGTAAAGCGCAGTACTTAGGGGCAAATCAAAGAATTATACTAAGACCTCACCTCATGTATGTTAGAAATTAAAAAGTTATTATCTTCTTTTGAATTGCAATATATATCCCTGCACCATGCATGAATGTTATTTGTCATATGTTATATATTTGAAAGGTGGTACACGATTCAAGCTCTATTTGCTTATGTTTCATCACCTTTGTGTGTTCTTTCTTCAAACTGTATATTAGTTGCAACGTGTCTATGATAAATCATTGTTATATTCTTTTTCATGTGAAGTCAATTCAAATGGATTGTAAAATTGAAATGATTTGTTATATTGTGAACATGCATGCATGCATAAATAAATAAATAAATAAATAAATATGCCTTCTCTGGAAAAAGGGGCATTGACTCTTTAAATACCAAATCATAGAAACTATTCACCATTATGTCACCGTCATGTACATATTTTCTATGGATATAATTTTTCACGATCTCAACTCTTTACCACATCAGCGTCATGTACATTGTCGATGGATAAAGTGGAATATTTATTCTTCACCACCCTACGCTAACTTTTCACCACCCAAGCGTCATGTACATTATCTATGGATAACCTGGAGTATTCTTCACCACCCTACGCTAACTTTTCACCACCCTAGCGCCATGTACATTGTCTATGGATAAACTGGAATATTAACTCTTCACCACCCTACGCTAACTTTTCACCACCCTAGCGTCATGTACATTGTCTATGGATAAATGGTAATATTAACTCTTCACCACCCTACGCTAACTTTTCACCACCCTAGCGCCATGTACATTGTCTATGGATAAAGTGGAATACTAACTCTTCACCACCCTACGCTAACGTTTCACCACCCTAGCGCCATGTACAGTGTATACGGATAAACTGGAATATTAATTTTTCACCACCCTACGCTAACTTTTCACCACCCTAGCGCCATGTACATTGTCTATGGATAAACTGGAATATTCTTCACCACCCTACGCTAACTTTTCACCACCCTAGCGCCATGTACATTGTCTATGGATAAACTGGAATATTCTTCACCACCCTACGCTATTAAACTTTTCACCACCCTAGCGCCATGTACATTGTCGATGGATAAACTGGAATAATTATTAACTCTTCACCACCCTACGCTAACTTTTCACCACCCTACAGCGCCATGTACATTGTCTATGGATAAGCTGGAATATTAACTCTTCACCACCCTACGCTAACTTTTCACCACCCTAGCGTCATGTACATTGTCTATGGATAAACTGGAATATTAACTCTTCACCACCCTACGCTAACTTTTCACCACCCTATAGCGCCATGTACATTGTCTATGGATAAACTGCAATATTAATTTTTCACTACCCTATTCTAACTTTTCACCACCCTATAGCGCAATGTACATTGTCTATGGATAAACTGGAATAATTATTAACTCTTCACCACCCTATAGCGCCATGTACATTGTCTATAAACTGGAATATTAACTCTTTACCGTGTTAGTTTGTGTTAGTTATGCCTATGCCTTCACGGTGACCATATGGTAGAAATACTCCCCAGCAGAGGCCGCCCTCCTTGGGGGGGGGGGGGGGGAAGTAGGGGCACAGTGCCCCCACTTTTTCAAGCACCCGAAAAGTGCCCCTTTTTACATAGGAATAGTGCTGCTTTTACTCTGATAAGTGCCCCTTTTATTTTGACACGTGCCCCTTTTCCTTCGACAAGTTCCCATTTTCCATTGCAATAAGTGTCCATTTTCCATTCTCGTAAGTGCCCTCTTTAATCTCTAGTACTAGGGTAGGTGTGGGGAATTGGAGACCCTTAAGCACATTTCCATAATTTACATAAACATGAAAAATGTTACACATACAGAAAGTTTTGTTTTCTCTTTAGTAACTTCTTCTCTTTATTGGGAAACAAAATTGTGATCATGATGTAACTGATTAATAAGATAACAATGATTTATGACGTCATCACCAAAGGTCTCTCATTACCAACATGCATAGGTAATAAGGGACAGTTACAAATCAAGACATTTCAAATCAAGACATCAAGACAAAAATGGGATTGTTATAGTTAGTTCAAACACTTTTTGAAAGAGATACATGCAGCCAATGAACTTATTGTAATTTTGAAACGATTTTGAAAGAAGAAATTAATCCCATGTTTTCAGCTTGTTGTGCTTTATAATTCATTGATATTACAGTATATAACATATTGCAATTTAGTATGGGCCACCAGCGCCAAAATCAAAATCAACTCTATTTATTTATTGCAAAAGAAAGCCCTTCGTATTATGTACTGGTTCACCATTATTTATCTCACACAAGTCCAATATTTTACAAACTGAAAACCCTTACAGTATTCGACATAAATTCGCTACAATGTTTACTGATCATGTTTAAGTATTTAAAAAATATGCTCCCCCTTTCATTTCAAAACTTTTACACTATGAAGAAAGCTATTCACTCTTACCCTACTCGTAATTCCTCAAATTTTCATCTAGTATACCCGAAATAAATCCATAAGACACCATGGTCCTGACCTATGGAACTTTCTCCCAGAATCTATTAAATCTTTTTGCTCCCTCTCAGGGCCGTAGCCAGAGTTTGATGTTTAGGGGGGGGGGGGGACACATACATGTAATTGATCGACGTTCTGGGGAGGGGTCTAACAAATTTCAATTTTGGGGGGGCACGTACTTATAACCCTATCAGGATTGGGTTTTTTCCTCTTTATAAGATGTAATTTTTCGCACTGCGACCTCACAAAATCTTAACACTTTTCCTCGCTCGCAAATAAATGTTAAGACCATCACACCCAACTGCAAAGCATGATGCATTATGCAATATCTTGTATGGTGTATAAAGTGAAACAAATATTGAAATCATCCCTCATAATGTAAACACAATGTAGGGGTATATACCGAAGTCTAAACAATGTCTATTTTCTCTTTGAGATTTCCCTTTGTAGCCTAGGTGCCTTTTTTTCTTCAGAAAGTGTCCTTTTTTCTTGGTGCCCCCCCCCCCCTCTTTCGAAGTCGCTCGGCCGCCCCTTTTCCCCAGTGAGTGGAGACTACAAACTTGCTATTGATTGGAGGACTTACGATTGATTTGGATCAATCGTAACTAAATAAAACGGGGACAAGCTCTCATGAAATTCTCACAATGATACACATCTGAAGTTTGAAAACAATATTAAGACTGCGGACACCAGAATATTTCGAAAACTAATAAACATTTATTGAAAATTACAGGAAATGCCAATACAACATGACTTTTTTTTCCCTTTCAATTCTATTTTCTCTTCTTCGTTCTCGTAGACATAGCCTCTACGGTAATACATGGCAACATTAGAATAAAGAATCAGTACTAGTACTATATAGATCAGGCGCGCCGGAAACA